TCAAAGAGCTATTGATGACTCCTCCGGTTTTGGCATATCCTGACTACACTCGACCTTTTATTTTGCGCATGGATGCTTCTGACTTCAGTTTTGGAGGTGTGTTGATGCAAAAGAGCTCAAGTGTGTTTGGTTAGCGCAATCCCATTGCATATATAACCCGTACATTACAACCAGCGGAGATGAACTACTCCACGATAGAGAAGGAGTGTTTAGCAGTAGTTTGGGGTTTTGAGAAACTTCATGCATATCTACATGGTTCTCGGACGTTACTTGAAGGTGACCATGTTGCTGTTACTTCATTATTAAAGCAGAAGAACCTGGTTGGGCGTACTGCTCGATGAGCTTTGAAGCTTCAGATATATGATTTTGATGTTGTTCATCGCCCAGAGAGTTCTATGGCTGATGCTGATGCCCTTTCTTGAGCTCCTCTTCCTTCTTCACTCATTTCTCATGTTTCTAACAAGCCTATTATTCCAGCATCTGTGGATTTTCTAGACGATGATTCTATGCCGTCGGCGGTTGCTATCCTTGACGTTCAGTGTCCACAAGGCGCAGAGCAAGATCTACCTTCTCTTGATGAGGTTTGCGAGGCTCAAAAGATTGAGCCGTGGATTTGAAGGCTTCGAGATGGGTTTGAGAATTTTATATCACTTGCTGATGACTTGCCTTTCCGGCATTTACATTCTCAATATTGCCTTGAAGATGGCCTTCTTTATTTTGTGGGGACAGATCCTGATGATCATTTACAACTGGTGATGCCTTCTGTCTTTATTTCGCGGTTTCTCCATGCCTGCCATGATTCTCCTATTCTAGGTGGGCATATGGGACACCATCATGTAACCAAGAAGCTGTGCAGGTCTTTTTATTGGCCGAAGATGTGACGTGATGTTATCCGGTATGTGCATAGCTGCGTTTGGTGCTAAGCTCGTAATACTCCCCCTTGTGCTGCGGAAGGATGGTTGGAGTCAATTGCGGTTTCCCGTTCGTTTAAGTTGGTGGCGTTTGATCTTATGGGACCTTTTCCACGGTCAACTGTTGGCAATGAGTATGTTATTATTGTTTTTGACTACTTGACTCGTTGGGTGGAAGTTGGTACTCTTGTTAACGCCTCTGCAACTGCTATTGGCTACTTCCTCCTCAATCGAGTGGTGTTCCAGCATTCTTGTCTAGAGCAAATTCTTTCGGATAATAGTCCCGCATTTATGGCTAAGGCATTTCATGTTTTGACGTCTCGGTTGGGGATACGCCACACTTTCACAAGTGTTTATCATCCACAATCAAATGGTCTGGTGGAATGGCTCATTCGGATATTCAAAGGGATGATTGCGAAGTATGTGAATTTTCAGCATTTGGATTGGGATGGTTATTTACCGTCTCTTTGGCATGCATATGTCACAAGGGTGCAGAGTTCTATTGGTGCTTCACCATATAAACTCCTATATGGTCATGATCCAATATTACCAATGGAGCTTGGTTTACCTTCACGATTGCCGCGAGCTACCGATGCTAGGTCATGGGATCAGTATTTGACGAGCGTTCTTCCACTTGTCCGAGCAGAGTCTACCGAACACTTAGGCTGCGTACAAGTGGGACAACAACGGCACTACAACTCCCATCATCATCCACTTGCGGAGTACAAAGTGGATGATTTGGTGTTAGTCCATTTTCCCCATCTTACGGTACATGGTTTATCTAAGGGACTTCTTGTGCAGTGGAAAGGACCATATCGGGTGTTGCGGCAAGTTGGACCACAAGTTTATAAGGTTTGGCATGACATTTAGCAGGCCGATCCTCTAGAGATTGTGCATATGTAGCGGCTGAAACGCTTCGTACAAAAGGATCAAGAGGAGTTAATACCACCTACAGATCCACCAATGCCTCCTCCTGATGTTCCTCCAGATCCCGGCCCATCTACAAGAGAACCCTGATGGTCTTCCATTATTCCAAGAGGAGGGGATGATGTGAGGGCCAAGTGTATGGCTATGATGCCGTATATTAATATTAGCGTAGTGGGATTTTGGTAGCCATTGGATTGGTTTCAATTCGAACCACTCGCTCCTATATATAAGCTAGGGTTTTTGATATGCACATTTTCTATATTCCCTTTCCATATTCCAAGCACTCACAAATCTAAATAAGCAAATAAGGTCCACCCTAAATAAAGGGGGGTGCTGTATTGTACTCATGAGTGTTATGTCCATCCCACAACATGGCATTGGATTTCGGGGACGATCCTGGTTGGTTGATTTGACGTTGTTGTTATGGCTGCTTCAACCCCACCACCACCACCACTGCTGCCGCTGCTGCCGCCACCGCCGCCACCGGTTGCTGCTCAAGTTCTCGTGGCTTCCACAAAGAAGGTGGAGAAATTCAGTGGCACGAATTTCTTCACATGGGCGACAAGAATCAGGCTGATCCTCTCTGCGAAACGAGTGTGGAACATCGTTGATGGGACTGAGCCTCATCCCGCTGAGCAGACGCTACAATCAGATTGGGATTTTCGCAATCAGCAAGCCATCACCGTCATTGGCTTGGGATTGAGCGATGAATTCTTGCAGCTGATTGATCTCACCAAGACCGCTGCTGAAATCTGGATGTCGCTTCGCACGATCTTCGTGGCCCAAGCCGCAAATTCTTTCATGTTGCTGAATCAACAATTCTTGGCACTTCACATGGAAACGGGTGAAACCATTGCTGTGTACGTGGGATGGATTCGAGGGCTAATGGCTGAATTGACTGGTGCTGGGTCTCCTGTCACGGACGATCGCGCCAGGGCGTTGCTGCTTGCAACCGTCACGCCTGCGTTTAGCACGCTCGCATCTGTTCTATCTCACATGGCCATGAACTTTGATCAAGTCGTGGGTGCCCTAATTGAAGAGGAACGCAAGATGAAGGGGAAGAAAGAAGCGATGCCCTCAGCCAAATCTTCCTTGCTTTATGCTGGCGCTGCGGGAGGATCATCCTCGTCCCCTCAAGCTCAGCCGAACGACACTGGTTTTCGTGGCATTTGTCACTATTGCCACAAACCTGGACACTTGGCGAGGGATTGCAAGAAGAAGAAAGCTGATCGTGCTAAAGCTGCCAAGAACAAAGACAAAGGAAACAAAGACAAGGGCTCTGGGACTCCTCATAAGCTCTTGATGGCTCGCTCTGCAAGCAGCCCGTGCTCGGACCAGAGCTGTGGCTGGATTCTGGAGTGTCATTCCATATGACGCCCATGGCTTCCTTGTTTTTTGACTACCAAGAACTGTGTGAGAGTGACGCCATGGGACCCGGTGACTCCTCTGCTGACGACGTGCTAGGCAAAGGAACAATCAGGGTTCAGCTCTCATCTGGAGAAATCTGGGAGATCTATCCTATGTCTTATGTTCCGGGACTTACACACACGCTGCTGCGGATTGGAACTGCTGCTCAAGTCACAGGGAGCGTTCGTGCTGGATGCCGAGACTGGAGACAAGGTCGCTTTTGGAGTTCCAGTAGATACGCTCTACCGCCTGGATGCTCACGTGATCCTTCCACCTGTGGCGCTGATGGCTCAGGTTCCACCGACACTTGCAACCTGGCAACAGCGCCTTGGTCACGTGAATGAGCAACAGCTAAAAAGGGTGGATGTTCCTGTGGCACCTGGGAGCGTGCTGCCCTTTTGCAAAGCTTGTGTTGGTGGAAAACACCACGTTTTTCCTTTTCCACAGATTTCTCATTCTCAAGCAAGTTCTATTCTTGAGTTGGTACACTCGGACGTTTGTTAGATTATGGTTGAATCTTTGGGAGGCAAACGTTACGTAGTCACCTTCCTAGATGATTACACGCGGTACCTGATCGTGTACCTGCTGGCTCACATGTCAGAGGTGTTCTCTTGCTTCTGCCAATACAAGGCTTTGGTAGAAAATCTACACAGCTGTTTAGTTCATGTGCTCCACTGCAATCGTGGAGGAGAATTCGTCTCTGGAGAATTCGAGACGTTTTGTGCTGAAGCTGGGATTCAGTGCCAGTATGCTGTCCCTGATGCCAATGCCCAGAATGGTGCTGCTTAGAGGGTGAATCGCACCATCATAGAAGCTGCACGCTGTATGCTGCTTCATGCGGGAATGCCGGCTGCTTTCTGGGGTGAGGCAGTTAACACGGCTGTTGCCAACTACCTGGGAAGACCACTCCTTATGAACTTTGGACTGGTCATGCACCTGGTTACGATCATCTCTGCATTTTTGGCTGTTTTGCCTACGCACACATTCCACACAAGCAACGCCGAAAGCTGGAGTCAAAGGCTGAGCCATCCATTTTCCTGGGATATTTGGAAGGCATGAAAGGATATCGCCTTTATTCTCTCAAGCGCAAAACGTTGCTGGAAAGACGGGATGTGCTCGTTGATGAGAGCAAGCTGTACAAGGATCGCGCTGAAGTTCCTGCTCCTACTTTCGTGGAACTCTAGCTGGTGGACACAGTTCACGTGACTACAGCTCCTTCTCAAGTCCCGTTGCTGCCTCTTGCTCCTGCTGGTGGTAACGTGGTGGTTCCTCCAGCACTGCCACCACGCCCTCCAGCTACGCCTCTGCAAGAATCTCCTCCAGTGAGAACACCTAGCTTCTCTGAAGAACTGATGAACACTTACTTCGAGGGCGACGAGGAATTTCAAGCTGCTCCTGAGTTCTTCCTCAGCTCATCTTCACTGGGAGCTGGACGTGGATCATCACCTTCAGTGGGAGCTGGAAGCAGGTCGCCAACTTCAGTGGGAGCTCTCCCAGACTCTCCACTTGTTCCACCACCTGTGATCCACCCTCCAGCACGTCCTGAACCACGGCGCTCTGCTTGAGTTCCCGTACCATCTAGGCTGCAATTGGAAGCTGAGCAATCTCGTCCCTTCTTTAGTTTTGGAAAAATTAAAAAGAAAGGAACACACCAGGCTAACTTCGTGGCTGCTAATCCAGAGCGAATCCCCATTCCAGTGAATGTTGACGAGGCATTACCTGGACCTCATGCTGCCCAGTGGCGGGAAGCCATGAATGCTGAAATGCATTCGCATGAGCGAAACAATACAATGACAAAGACAACCTTACCTGAAGGTGCTCACCTTGTGAGCTCGAAATGGATTTACACAGTCAAGTACAAACCTGATGGAACTGTAGCAAAATTCAAGGCCAGGTTTGTCCCACGGGGATTCAGCCAGATTCCAGGTTTGGAATACATGGAGACGTACTCACCAGTTGTGAAGTTGACCTCTGTGCGAGTGATCCTTGCACTGGCTGCCAAGTACGACCTGGAACTGCACCAGTTGGACGTTCGCACTGCTTTCCTGCACGGCAAGTTGAACGAGGAGGTCTACGTCACGCAACCACCTGGATTTGTCAAACCTGGTGAGGAACATCTTGTTTGCAAGCTGAATCGCGCCCTGTATGGGCTTAAACAATCCCCGAGGGTTTGGTTGAACGCATTGATGCGTTCTTCAAGAGCCTGGAGTGTGTTCCTCTTGCAGTGGAAGGAAACGTGTACCTGTACAAGTGTGGTGACGATTTTCTCCTGGTTGCTGTGTACGTTGACGACTGCATTCTCGGTGCAAAAACCTGCCACCTGCTGGACGAGATGAAAAAGAAGCTGAGTGAAGAATTTGAGATGTCTGACCTGGGCGAGCTTCGCCATTTCCTTGGCATCCAAATTATACGCAATCGAGGGGCATGCACCTTGAGCTTGACACAAGCTGGAGATCTTGGAACGCTTCAATATGCTGGACTGCTCTCCCGTGGCCACACCTCTTGAGGTCAATCATAAACTCAGCCGTGACATGGCCCCTGTCACAGAGGAAGAACGCGAGTACATAGCCACAGTGCCATATCGTCAAGCTGTGGGAAGTCCTGTTTATTTGATGCTGGGAATGCGACCAGATCTCGCCTATGCTGTTGGGATGGTCTCCCAGTTCCTCGAGAACCCCGGACCTGCACATTGGCAAGCTGTGAAGCGGATTTTCTGCTACGTTCGAGGTACCTTGCATTTGCAGCTTTCACTATGGCGCTGCTGTGTCACAGGAACTTCATGGGTGCTCGGATGCGGACTGCGCGGGCGACCAGGACTCAAGGCGCTCTACCTCCGGGTAGCCCTATGGTGCTGTTCTCGGACAACCAAAGTGCTCTTGCACTGGCCGCCAATCCACGCTTCCATTCTCGGACGAAACACATCGAGATTCGTTTCCACTACGTGCGGGAACAAGTCCAAAATGGAAAGTTGTTGCTGGAATATTGCCCCACCGAGGCAATGGTGGCTGATATACTCACGAAGGCTTTGGCTCGAGACTCCTTTGAACGCCATCGCGCTGCACTGGGAGTCTGCTCTCCATCTGTTTCGGGTAGTCCATCCTCTCAGCTGATCGAGCCAGAGTGGGAGTGTCGAGATGTCAGTCTCGATCAGCTGACGTGGCATGTCCACGTGGTCATGAGAGTCAGACACATTCTTTGGCCCAGCCCAAAGTCCTGGCCTTTTATGTCAATTAAGTTCCCAAGGAACCTTTCCGGCTTGAATCGCAATGCATCCTCCCATACTGCTGGATCTCTTCCAATTGTAAAACAAATGACGAATGTGGGAGTTCCTTTGGGAATGTCATAGCCAGCAACCTTGCACGCTTCGGTTGACATGTGAATCAGCAGCGGAGCTGGACCTTGACGATTGCCCAAGGTACTCCAGTTTGTCAAAGCCTCTCTCTGCAACAAGGCGTTCCTTTCCAACGACAGTGAATCTCTTCCTGGGCCTTTGAAGAACAAGTGGATTGTGCATGAGTTCCAACAGCGTCCATTCAATCAAACTAGCGCTGGTATCTCTTCCAGATAAAAGCTCCTGCATAATTCGAGATTAGCCAACTGACTTTGTTACGGTGACAATAGCTTTGACCGATTCCTCTCCCCGGGCTCCTTCGCTTTTCAAGCTTTGCAGCATGGTATCCATGAAATCTTTGGGCTGCGAGGTCTCGGACTCGAGCCTAGCCTTGTGATCGTCTATAATTCTCTTAAAGAACTTGTCTTGTCTCGCATGTATCCTCATCATCTCTGGATCTTCCAGTCAATCCGTCTCATGAACGCCGGTACGAACTCACTGATGTGGAATTGAAGCATCTGCTCCGTGATCTCAAACACAATGTGCTTGAAATCCTTGCCCTTGCTGCTCATCTCAGCCTCATGCTCACGATACTCGAAGAAAGGCTTGCTCATCAGGATCTGCATGACAACATGGAAGACATATGCTGTCAAGAGGTGCCTCATGTTGATTGGCTTCTGATAGTCAGCCGCATTCACAAGCTCAGACAAGACGCCATGCGTTTCTCTCGTTCGCACCTTGAAACGACTCAATGCGCTTGACGGTAAAGAGCTCTGTAGCGCAAAGCTTCCTCATGCTTTTCCAGTAGTCGCAATAAAGAACAAAACCAATGTCTCGGAAGTTGTAGTTGTACTCCCCCATGGTCAAGTATGGCCCCAATGCAAAATTTGCATCCTGGATCTTTAGTACCTCTTTCACTAGCTCCAAACTGGAGATCACCACAGCTGGTACCATTCCCAGGCGTAAAAACACAATCGGTCCATACTTTGTGGAGAGTGTCTGGAATGAAAGGTGTAGGATTCTTCCCAAGAGATGCAAGTGACCGATAAGAGGCAGCCCCTGTAGGCAAATTAATGACACTTGAAAGATAGGAGAAGAGTGATCAACAAAACAACTGCATATTGAGCAACCTCCATTTCTGATTGAAAGTGTCAAACGTGACAGCTTGAAGGAAGGATGAATTGATGCATTGTAGGCTGCAAGCACCGGAAGGATAGTGGGGTCAGTGGCTTTCACTTGATATTTTAAGACGTATGTTCTGCTGAACTATTTGGATGGTCCGCTTAAAACATGGTGTGTGACGGTTTTATGCAATTATTGGTCAAGATATTTTATGGAGCCTAGAATAGCAACTTCTATGTTGAAAGTCGAAGTGTAGTCTTCATAAACATCCCATAGTCTCATGTTGACCTCACAAAGACAATGTAGATTATAATTATTCTTAGTTTTTATTATATTCTTATTTTTCTTCAAAGGCTGCCTGTTACAATTTGATTAACATACCATCGAGCTAAAAATATTAAATATTCTGACTAGACTAAGAAGTTTTCATGTATTCCAGGACAGGACACCTGTGAAACATGCTGGTGTGTAGTTTACAAAGTAAAGGCCACGCTACTAAGAGAAAAATAGCTGGAAGTACATCGATTTTCATATCAAGTTTGATAAATTTTGGATCTGGTTGAGTTTGTTTGAACTTGCCACCACGTTGCACCTTCTCGGGTCCGACATGATGATGGTGCGCTTTGGATCCAGAATCCAAGTCCCACAAAACGTGCCTCCACCCAGGGGGTTATCCATGTGGTAGCGGCTGCTCGCATAATGGAACACCAGATTCGCTGGATTGCGCAGGAGAGAACATCCAGGAACTTCAGGAAAGCTTTCTTCCCATTCCGGGACGCTGGCAAGGATATCGCAGTAATAGATGAATTCGTCTTCCTTGTCCTGGATCATCCTGCACGTAGTGTTCACGGCGTCCTGAAACGTCTGCACGCTCGGATCGGTGAGCAGCAGCACCGCTGGAAGATTGTTAAACTTCTTCTTGTAAAACTCCTTGGGAAACGAGAAGACGTCGTTCACCATCCACATATGATCGAGCATAGCGTTCTGAGCCCTGATGTAATCCAGGGACTCGACATCCTCATCGTCAAACGAAGCACCCATTGCATAGATGAGTGGCAGAATGAAGACGTTCTTCCTCCGGTAGAGCTCGTAGTCCTGCGTCAAGTCGTCACTCAAAATGCTTCTCGCCCAGCCCTCAACAGTGGAAACCGTGCGCCTGAACAGCTCCGTCTTCAACAGAGACCTCAAATCCTTCATCAGATCGTGGCACGCTCGATAGGCAAGAATATCCGGAACCTCCGCGAGCGATGCGGTTCCATAGCAGAGGCTAAAAACAGTGTCGAGCTTCGACCTCGTTGTCATCAAACGGATCGTCCAGGAAGGCAGTGAGCCAGGCAAACTTGGCCGACGCCAACATGTTCGCTTTCGGAGCGTGAGGCGTGGAGAGGCACGTAAACATTGGAACTTTCCACTGGACCAGGCATTTCTTCTCCTCCGGACTGAAATCCCTCCTCATGCATTTGAATGCCCACTCGTTTGCTTCCTTGGTGATTGACATATAAGTTTCACGTGATCATGCTGTCTGCTTGGACTGACTTTGATTGTGTAGGGAAAATATTTGAACCGGTGGTTGTCAAATCACACCTGGCAAAGAATAGTCCAGTCAATTATTTAAAATAGAATGATATCAAGACGTCGTTTGTGGTGTAATTCAACATGGAGTTTCTAGCATGCGCGATGGCTCTTGTGTTTTTCATCTATGTTCTCGTCTGGGGAATTCCAGGTGGAGGGCACCGCCGTCTCAACTTGACAGTATCACCAGTGGGTCTCTTCCATTGATCGGACCTCTTTGGGAGGAAACCCCATCTCTCTCTCCTTGCACTGTCCAACAAGTATGGACCGATCTTCTCTCTCCGGCTGGGAATGGTGCCTGTGGCGCACAGCTTCCGCATGTTCTTCCAGTAATCGCCGTAAGGCGCGAATCCCATGTCAAGGAAGTTGTAGAAGCTGTACTCCCCTGGCATATGTAACGTCCTGGGTTTTGAAGAGCTCGTTGGCCAGATGGGTGCTCGCGACCACCACGGAGCTCTTCACAATCAGGCGCATGGATTCTTTCTTGTGGTGAAGGAATAGTGATATTATTTGTACTTTTATGTGGATTTAAATCATCAATCTTTTAGTATTTTAGTCATAAAAAAGATCTTTGATGCTTGTTGGTAAGAGTTCTTATCAAAAATATCTATTAAGATCCAATACAAGTATGGAGGTAATAATAAGTGGCTGATGAATTATCCACGATGGTAAATTTTATCTCGTTTATGAAGGTTTAGTAATCTCTTAGATGAGCTTAAAAAGTTTGTTGACTTCAACTCCTTTATCATTGATATTTGTATGAAAATTTTATTGAGGGACACCTTTACAGATTTGAAGGGTGACAAGTTTGTGTCATTCGAAATATAAAATGAAATCCTGGTGAAGAAAGGATATATGGTGGTCCTTTATAGTTATTTGCCCTGCCAAGCAGTCAAAGTTGATCATTAAAAGCTCCCTAACCTCTATCATCCTCTACGTGTACCCAAGAATAAATGGGCTAGCATTTTGATGGACTTTATCATTGGTTTACTAAAAACGTTTTGAGGAAATAATGTTATTAAAGTTCTTGTGGATTTTTTTACGAAGATGGCTCAAAGATGACAATTAAAACTTCTAAATTTACTCAATTATTTGTAAATAAATTATTTAGTCTTTGTGGTTTGTCAAGTGACATTATGAGTGATTGAGATCCCTATTTGATGATCTATCGATATAAACATTAGTTGCAGTCCATGTGAGTGGCTTTGACTCGATATGTTCTTATTTTCTTGCTAAACTATTCTGTTGGTCTGCTTAAAACTTAGTGGTCCAATTTTGACGATTTTATGCAATTATTGATCAAAGATATTTTATGGAGCCGACAATGTAGAAAAGCAACTTATATTGGTCTCATGCTTCTTCAAAGGCTGCCTGTTACAATTTGATTGACATACCACCAAGCTAAAAATATTAAATATTCTGAAAGTTTTCTTGTCTTCCAGGACAGGACACCTGTTTATGGCATTATCTTCTAGGAAACAGCAGGCTTTGGAGGTTTCTTGGAAGACCTAGGATTCTAAGCTTCTAGTCTTCTAAGCTCTGGATGAAATAAGACTGAGCATAGAATACTGCTGACTTCCACATGTGCAGCACGTGAGGAATGGCTTGGCTAGGCGAACTATGTATATGACAAAGTCCTAGGTGATCATCCTAATTGCATAAAAACATCATGGCTGTAGTAGTTTGCAAGAATGCCAAATAGCCATACATTTTTCATTGATTTTCACTTCCTATGTAGCTAGTTTACAAAGTAAAGGCCATGCTACTAAGAGAAAAATAGCTGGAAGTACATCAATTTTCATATCAAGTTTGATAAATTTTGGATCTGGTTGAGTTTGTTTGAACTTGCCACCACGTTGCACCTTTTCGGGTCCGACACGATGATGGTGCATTTTGGATCCAGAATCCAAGTCCCACGAAACGTGCCTCCACCCAGTAGGGGGTTATCCATGCCATGGTAGCGGCTGCTCGCATAATGGAACACCAGATTCGCTGGGATTGCACAGGAGAGAACATCCAGGAACTTCAGGAAATCTTTCTTCCCATTCCAGGACGCATTCGTGGCAAGGATATCGCGGTAATAGATGAATTCGTCTTCCTTGTCCTGGATCATCCTGCACGTAGTGTTCACGGCGTCCTGAAACGTCTGCACGCTCGGATCGGTGAGCAGCAGCACCGCCGGAAGATTGTTAAACTTCTTCTTGTAAAACTCCTTGGGAAACGAGAAGACGTCGTTCACCATCCACATATGATCGAGCATAGCGTTCTGAGCCCTGATGTAATCCAGGGACTCGACATCCTCATCGTCAAACGAAGCACCCATTGCATAGATGAGTGGCAGAATGAAGACGTTCTTCCTCCGGTAGAGCTCGTAGTCCTGCGTCAAGTCGTCACTCAAAATGCTTCTCGCCCAGCCCTCAACAGTGGAAACCGTGCGCCTGAACAGCTCCGTCTTCAACAGAGACCTCAAATCCTTCATCAGATCGTGGCACGCTCGATAGGCAAGAATATCCGGAACCTCCGCGAGCGATGCGGTTCCATAGCAGAGGCTAAGAACAGTGTTGAGATACGATGTCGCGAGAGCTCCCCCAGCAACCTCGTTGTCATCAAACGGATCGTCCAGGAAGGCAGTGAGCCAGGCAAACTTGGCCGACGCCAACATGTTCGCTTTCGGAGCGTGAGGCGTGGAGAGGCACGTAAACATTGGAACTTTCCACTGGACCAGGCATTTCTTCTCCTCCGGACTGAAATCCCTCCTCATGCATTTGAATGCCCACTCGTTCGCTTCCTTGGTGATTGACGTATACTCGGGATGCCTTTGGAAAGATAGAGAGCATGGTATCTCCGGAAGCTCGAATCTCGTGAGAGCAAAGAGATGTTCTACCGCTGGTAGCTTCTGTAAACACGGACTTGCCATTTCTTAGAGATGGTTTCGAGATATTTTCTTCAATTTATACTGCTAAGTTTCACGTGACCATGCCCAAGAAGTTTCCTGCTTGGACTGACTTTGATTGTGTACAGAAAATAGAACCGGTTGTTGCCAAAGAAAAGGCGGTCAGAAAAAAGGACTGGTTGTTACTCCCTCGGCATGAATGAGTGAATAAGATGATATCGACATGGAGTTTCTAGCACCGCCGTCTCAACTTGCCAGTATCACCCAGTGGGTCTGTTCCATTGATCGGACACCTCCACCTCTTTGGGAGGAAACCCCATCTCTCTGTATGACCGATCTTCTCTCTCCGGCTGGGAATGGTGCCATCCGTGGTGGTCGCGAGCGCCCATCTGGCCAAGGAGCTCTTTAAACCCAGGACTTTACATTCTCTTCCAGGCCGTATTTCATGCCAGGGGAGTATAGCTTCTACAACTTCCTTGACATGGGATTCGCTGGAAGAACATGCGGAGCTGTGTGCCACGGAGCTCTTCACAATCAGGCGCATGGATTCTTTCTTGTGGGTGCGAACAGAGGAGCTCCGTGAGATGCTATCGGCGCTCTTGGATTCTTCTCTGGATTGCAAGCCCGTCAACATGAGAGACATGGTCACGACATGCCTGTTCAATGTGGTCACCCGGATCTTGATGAGCAAGAGGTTCTACACGTTTGTGGGAGACGAGGCAACCATGGATGAAGATGCCCGGGAGTTTAAGAGCCTCCTGCTGTCCATCACAGACCAGGCGATCCATTTTCATCCTTGAGGTACTTGAGCATGATGTGCATGAAGTCCTCCTTGCTGCTATTGACACCAAGCTTGTGCTCGTCGACTATCTTCTGCAAGACACTATCAATCTTTGGCTGCAGCTTCTTGAGCCGTGGGATCTTCCAGTCGATGCCTCTAAGCCACGGTGGGACAAACTCGCTGGTGTGAACCATATTGCGAGGACAGTGTCAAGGCCAATAGCATGGTAAGTTCTTCCTCTCGTGATTTGATGTCTCTTAACTATATCCTCGAATATGCCAGGAGCTTATATCTGGTGGAACAACTGGAGCTACACAATGTTGTCTTCTCCAACCAGGCAAGAATTCCCCATCTCCTCTTGAGCTTTTCCTAGCATCTCCAGGTGGTGAAGAAGCTCCAGGATTGACCACCTGATCACAGCAGCACTTGTGTTGCAAGCAGTGATCAAGGAAGCTCCAAGATTGTTTATATTACATAAATTGTAAGCAAAGGTGAGAAGTTCTTGGCATTGCACATTAGTGACAATTCAGTTAACACTTTTATGTCTTTCAACATCTACATCAATATATCATTAGAAGGGATTGCAAAGGGGCAACTACCAAAGAAGTCCACAAGTACGACAATTTATGATTGCTAACATGGTTAGTCTTATTTTATGTGATATACAACTTATAAGTGTAACATGATTTTAAAAATCATTTTTATAAATATTGTCTATAAGTATCTTCGATATAGAAGTGTGTCATTTGAGGCATTAATTGTACTTAACTTGTTGCAAAGGGTGTAAAGGATGGAAGAATGTACCCAACAATGTTTGCAAAAATTCAAAAGGCATAAAAGATAAATTGCTAAGAGTTGGAGCTCCTTAGGAAGCAAACACTTACATTTGACTAGGAGGAAATTTGGCAATGATGGCAATGCTAGGATGAAGAAGCTCTAAAAAATACTTAAATATAAATTAAGAGAAACAAGTTAAAACATTTTGACAGTGGAACGGGAGTCTAATCTTGATTATCTTGGAATGCAAGCTTAATTTAGGCAATAATAGTCTTCCGAAGAGCCAACAACCGCACATACTTCATCAATCGATCCACTATGACCCATACTTGCTCATTTTGCCTCTATGTGTATGGCAAACAAGTGATGAAGTCCATAAAGATACTACACTAACGGCTCTAAGGAATCCCTATAGTTTCTCCCGTGGCACCTTAACCTACTGACAGAGTTTGCATGATTGACAATACTTGAGGATATCAACCTTCATATTCCTCCAATAAAAATTGTGTTTAATCAACACATACATCTTCTTCCCCCCAAAATGATCGGCCTTTGGACAATCATAATATTGGAATAAAACCTAAGCAATTAATATATTTACTTATGGTAAATGTACACGGCCATTGTAGTAGAGAATCCCATCCACCAATGAGAAAGGTGCTTCCAGCTGGGTGTGCAAAGAAACCATCTTGAGCATCTTGAGTTTGAGCACGCTTAACCAACTACCCAAACTCACTAACCACCTTTTTTAAATGATGACAAAATCGTGTTTATAACACTGTCACATGATAAATACGAGGTAAAGCATCTGCCACTACATTTGATTTTCCCGGAAAATGCTCAATAAAAAACTCCATAAATTCCATAAGTTTGACCATCCAATGAGCTTGCCTAATGTTCAACTCTTTCTGTGTAAAAAGATACACAAGAGGTTTGTGATCTATCAACACCACAAAGACTGCACTATAAAAATAATGCTACCACGTCCTCAAAGCATGAACAATAGAGAGTAACTTTTGCTCATATGTGGAATAGTGTTGCTCCGCAGGATTCAAAGTTTGACTCGCATATGTAATAAGTTGTCCCTCTTGCATGAGAACTCCTTCTAGTGCATAACCACTTGCATCACATGTCACCTTGTAAGGTTTTGATAGATCAGCAATGTGAAGTACTGGAGCCTCACTCAACAACTGTTCCAATGCCAAAAAACTCTCTTCTTATGGCTTTTTCCACTCGAATGGCACATTCTTGTGCAACAACCATGTCAAAGGAATAGCCACCTCCGCAAACTTATGCTGGAAATGTTAGTAGTAACTAACCATACCAAGAAAACTACATAACTCAACCACTATAATCGGTGTAGGTCAATTTTCCACTGTAGCCACCTTTCTTGAATCCGTCTTGACACCCTTAGATGTCACAATATAGGCTAGATATTCCACTTCCAACTTTGCAAACTCATATTACTCCTTTTCACATAAAATTTGGTGTCATGGAGTAACAAAAGAACTTTGCACAAATGTACCTTATGCTCCTCCATATTCTTGCTGAGAAAAACATAGGAGATCTTGTAGCATAGAGCTTCTAAAATCATGCTCTTGGGTTTGGGAGAAAGATCGTCCAATAAAATCTCCACAAACTCATGAAGATAATGCCCAAATACCTCCATCATCAACTGAGTAAATGTGGCAAGTGCATTTGTTAAACAAAATAGCATAATTGTAAACTCAAAATGTCCAAAGTTTGTGTTGAATGCCATCTTGGAGATACATGTATCATCCATTGCAATCTGATGATATCCACTTTTTAGATCAATTTTGGTAAACATTCATGCTTCACCAAGCTTATCTAAGATATAATCCACATGCAGCATTGGCATTTTATCCTTCACTGTCTTTTTGTTCAAAGCATGGTAGTCAATACACATTTGCATTGAACCATTCTTCTTCTTCACAAGCGAGATTAGAGCACCAAACAAAGACTAATTTGGCAAAATAAATCCAAACTCAAGTAACTCCTTAACTTGTTATTAGACTTCTTGCTCCTTTGCATAAGTTATTGAAATAGATGCCGGTAAATTGGTTGCATTCTCAACTCCAATGTAATCCCATGCTCCATACATCATAATGGAGGCAACCCATGAGGAAGTTCAAATGGAAAAATATCGAAAAACTCATCAACTACATCCTGTACTGTTACTTCTCTCCCACATGTGCCTTGGTCCCCCAAGTCACAAACAAATAGTAAGTAATTCGAAAGTGGTTTTCCATTACGACAAGCTCACTTCAAAGATGTAGCAAAGAGCATAACAACTGGGGGTTGAATTCCTTCTCCAAACTACATATCTTTAACGCCACTGTACTCTAACGAGACACATTTAATACTCCACTTTATCTTTGGATCCACCTTCACCAACCATGGCATCCCAAGAATGAGATTCACACGATGGATATCCATGAGATAAAAAGTCTCCATGAGTGTGGTTTTGTCAATCAATACTTCTAACCCCTTTACATAAGCATCGAAATGCTAAGCAAAGGTAGCTGCACGTTCCACCGTGTATGGAATAACTCCTCGTGTCACCAGGCCATGCTCTGCAACAAACTTTGCTGAAACAAAGTTGTCATCACTCTGCTATCCAATAAAATTCACACTGGACTATTATGGAACACGCCCTCCAGCATTAAAGTTGATTCACAAGTGTTCTCAAGCTTGGTATGGGGATTATTCTTGGGTTTGGAATATTTGGCTTCTGTATTGGCATTGTTCTTGCTTGCATTGGCCATGCCATTGGAAAATTTGCTGACAATATGGACAAAGCTGGTGACTCTACGAGAAAGACATAGTGGAGCTTGTTGGAAATCATTGTAATTCTCATTAAAAATACATCTATATAGCTGCTCCAAAAGAACAAGTTTGATTCCAAATTAGAAGAAAGGGAAGGCCTTAGAAGTCATCTTTTAGGGCTTATAAAGCCAGGTAGAATGTGGGTATAAAGCTGGCAATAGTAGCAATGGCAAATTCACGGTGTAAGAATTTCTCATCTTCTCAGCCTCAAGCTCTATTTTGTTCCATACACAGTTGAGTTGGTGAGCAATGATCGAAAGCCTCTTCCTCTGACTTGAATGGGCATCCCTATCATCCTCACGCTGCAAAGTTTGCAACTTTTTAATATTAGACTTACTTCTTTGACCCCTTTACATCCGAAGTAACCACCACAGATTTTATCTTGTGATGCTTGTTTCCATCCTTGTGTCCACAACAATCATCACGACGATTCTCGATAGAAGGACTCCTGGAATGCTTGCGATACTTGTGCTTATCATTATCAAGTTGACGAGCCACATCAAGCCCCAAAAACATGGTACTGCTGAAGAACTTGAACCTGAGCACACAAATGCAAGACACTAACCTCAACTCCCAATCATTCCGGAGCAACACGCATTACTCTTGGCACTAACTCTTC